GTCTAGTTAATATTTGTCACTGTACAGTTACATTTTTTTCTTGTGATGAAAACTTTCAAGATCTATTCTCTTAGCAACTTTCAAATATACCATCACATTGTACATTATATCACCATGACTTATTTATTTTATAATTGGAAGTTTGTACCGCCTTCACTCATTCCCCCCACTGCACCCCCTTACCTTGGCAATTACCAATCTTTTCTCTGTATCTGTGAGACTGTTTTTCGGTTGTGGTGGTGGTTTTGTATTTTTAGATTCCACATATAAATGAGATTATGTGCTATTTGTTTTTCTCTGTAGGACTTATTTCACTTAGCATCATGCCCTGAAGCTCCATCCATGTTTTTATTGCAAATAGCAAGGTATCATTTTGATGATTGAATAATATTCCATCATATATATCACATTTTCTTTATCCATTTATCCATCAATGGACACTTAGGTTGTTTCCACATTTTGGCTATTGTAAATAATGCTGAAAAGTTCCTTTTTTAGATATGGAAGCTGGTTATATGATGTGTACACTTTTTGTATGATTACTACTATGTATGTTCATACATATAAAGCTTTCATAAAAAAAAGAAGTGTAGACAGAGGCCAACAGGAGCCCCAAACATTTACTCCTTTTCTGCCGCTGGCCCTGATACTTACAACACTGTAAATAGTTACCCTTGGGCAGTAATAGTGGGACTTGAAATTCCATTTGAGGGATTTGGGCATCCAATAGATTTCTACTTACAAAATTGTTTCTATATGCTCATGTATTTCTTTCTTTTGTAGAAAGAAATTTTGGACATTCATGAGCCAAAAAAAAAAACACCCAGAAATGACCCTTGATCTAAACCTCACATTTTATACAAAAATTAACCCAAAATGGATAATAGAATTAAGTGTAAAACATAAAAACTTTTGGAAAATTGCTTACAACAATACTTTTGTGACATAAGGCTAGTGAAGAATTCTTAGCCTTAACATTGAAAGCATGATCCATAAGAGATAAACATTTATAAATTAGACTTTATCAAAATTGAAATATACACTGAAAGAACCAATAAAAATGATGAAAAGACAAGCTAAAGACTTGAAAGAAAATATTTACAAACCACATATTCAAAAAAGGTCTAGCCCTAGCCGGTTTGGCTCAGTGGATAGAGCATCGGCTTGCGGACTGAAGGATCCCAGGTTCGATTCCGGTCAAGGGCATGTACCTTGGTTGCGGGTACATCCCCGGTGGGGGCTGTGCGGGAGGCAGCTGATCGATGTTCCTACCTCTCTATCCCTCTCCCTTCCTCTCTGTAAAATATCAATAAAATATATATTTCTTTAAAAAGGTCTAGTATCTAGAATATGTAAAGAACACTCAAAACTCAACAGTAAAAACAAATAACAAAAATCAATACAAATTGATTTTTTAAAAATATATTTTATTGATTTTTTACAGAGAGGAAGGGAGAGAGATAGAGAGTCAGAAACATCGATGAGAGAGAAACATCGATCAGCTGCCTCCTGCACATCCCCCACCGGGGACGTGCCCGCAACCCAGGCACATGCCCCTAACTGGAATCGAACCCGGGACCCCCCAGTCCGCAAGCCAACGCTCCATCCACTGAGCCAAACCGGTTTCGGCACAAATTGATTTTTGTTGTTGTTCCTTTTTATCACCAGAAAGGATATGCAGATGACAAATATGCACATGAAGAAATATTCAGCATCTTTAATCCTTAGACACCTATAAGAATGGCTAAAATAAAAAAAATAATGATAAGATCAAATAATGACAAAAACATAGAGAAACTTGATCACTCGTGCGTTGCTGATGGGAATGTGAAATGGTACAGTCATTCTGTAAACCAGTTTGACAGTTTCTTATACAACTAAATATGCAGTTATCATGTGAACCCAGCATTTACACTCCTAGGCATTTATCTCAAAGAAATTAAGACCCACGTTCCCACAAAATGCTGTGCACAAATGCTTACAGCAGCTTTATCTATAATAATAAAAACTGGAAAAAAACCCAGGTGTTCTCTAACAGGCAAATGACTAAACAAACTACAGCGTCCATACCATCGTATGCTATTCAGCAATAAAATTTAGCAAATTGAATGAAAATCCAGGGAATTTATACTGGTGGGGAAAAAAAACAATACAAAAGAATTCCATACTGTATGTTTCCATTTCCATTTCCATAACATTTTCAAATGACAAATTAATAGAAATGTAGATAAAGGGATAGAGGATGGGGGTATGGATAGGGACAGGGAGAGAAGGTGGGGGTGCCTTATAAAGGGGAAAGGAGGGATCTCGTGGTGATGAAAATGTACTGTCTCTTTTTTGTTGTTCATCCTCACCCGAGGATATTTTTTCCATTAATTTTTAGAGAGAGTGAAAAGGAGGGAGGGGGAGAGAGAGAAAGAGAGAAACATCAATGTTAGAGAGACACTTGGATTAGTTGCCTCCTACCCCGACTAGGGATTGAACCTGCAACCCATATAGGTGCCCTTGACCGGGAATTGAACCTGTCACCTTTAGGTGTGTGGGCTGATGCTCTAACCGCTGAGAAACACGGTCCAGGGCATGTTCCATATCTTGACTGAATCATTTAGCATCATGGTTGTAATATTGCACTAGTCTTTAAAGACTTTTCTGTTAGAAGAAATAGGGTAAAGGGCATACAGGATCTGTCTGTATTATTTCTTACAACTACATTCAAGTTTACAGTTATTTTAAAAAGTTTAATTTAAAAAAAAAAACAAAGGAGAGCGTACATATTCTTCCTCACGATAGTGAGAAAAATCTTTTTGAAGAAATCAAGCTGAAAGTCATTCCTGAAGTGGGCTAGAGATCAGAAATGGTCTTTTCAGATCCTTCTACCCCAGCATTCTAGTCTGGGGTAGAAAAATTTCATGGGGCAATCATTTCTCTGACTGACTTTTACTATAGGGCAAAGTCATGGAATGAAATAATGTTAGACAGTAGCAAAGCATTAATTAGTCAAGCTTAGAAATGTGACATGGGCTGAGGAGAGAATCCCATTCAGTTTTGGGAAAATATGGAAATGAAACCTGACTTTTTTGAACTAAGAGTGATGTGACCAATGACCAGGCATAATGAAGCACCCAGCTGCTCCTTGGCCAGTGTGATATGTCAGTAGCAGTTACCTCTCTAAGTGGAGCTGACAGTTGTGGATAAATGGGCCCCAGTTGCCGAGGAAGTCTGTGTCAAACAAAAAGCTTTTATCATAACTTCAGTCATAATGATTTGTGGGTATATTTCACTCAAGGTAGAATGAATTGTGTGTTGCCATGGTTATTTAATCTACAGATTAACCTCCGATTATGAAAGGGTTAAACTTATGTTGCTTTCTCTTTTTTTCAGTCATGGTTCTTCAGAATGCATTAAAATTCAGAACCAAAGGTTATATGAAATTGGAGGAAATATAGGTAAGGATTCTTTAACATTTTTACTCCTAAATTCTCTGGTTACTGTAAAAGAAATATGATATTATTATAAAAGTATATTTTATAAGTTTCTTAGATATAAACTCAAAATCAGTGAATTTTTGATTTTTTAATCTCATGTAAAAACAGTATGACTTTCCTAAAATATTTTCAGAATTTAAATGTGAATATTTTAGTTTATATAGAGTAGACTTTTGGATCTTTTAAATGTGCCTGAAAGTTGGAAAATCTCTTTCTGGAGATTCTTGCAAAACAAAGGAAAGAACATCATGGAACGTTTAGTTAACTTCCCTATTTTCACTAGTAGCCCAACTTCATTCTTCCTATTTCCCTGACAGTGAAAAAGGAATCCAAAGCCTAACCAATTTGGCTCAGTGGAAAGAGCGTCAGCCTGTGGCCTGACGGCTCCCGGGTTCGATTCTGGTCAAGGGCATGCACTTGGTTTCGAGCACATCCCCGGGGAATGTGCAGGAGGCGGCTGATCAATGTTTCTCTCACATCGATGTTTCTAACTCTCTATTCCTCTCCCTTCCTCTCTGTAAAAAATCAATAAAATATATTTTAAAAAAGAAAAAGGAATCCAAAGAAAATTCCCTCTACTTTCTTCTGTGTCTGTGTCTTCTGCTTGCCTTCCTCACAGTCCAGAGGAAATATCTGTGCTCCTATTTAAGACCAGCTCTTCTACTCAAGTCTCACTTTATGTCCCCCCTGCCCAGTTAGGACCTTGATCCAGGCATTCCCCCATTCTCTCTTGTATCATCAGCTTTCCCTCCAACTGCATCATTTCTATCTGCATAAAAATTTGGTAATGTCTCTCATTTTTAAATTTGTTTTTTATTGATTTGAGAGACAGAGGAAGGGAGAGAGGGAGAGAGAGAGAAACATGAATGAGAAAGAAACATCATGGATGGGCTGCTTCCTGCATACCTCCTTTCTGGGGATCAAGCCCATAATCCAGGCATGTGCCCTGACCAGGAATAGAACCGCCAACCTTTCAGTGCATGCCCTGAACCACACCAGCCAGCACATGTCTCTCATTTTTACAAAATTCTCTCTTGACCTCCTTCCAGTCAACACCCATTTTTGTTCTGCTTTACAGCAAAAACTCCTAGAATCAGTTGTCTAAACTTCCATTTCTTCCTCTTGTTCGCTCTTGAAACCACTCCAGTCAAGCTTTAGCTTCAACACTTAATCAAAATGGCTCTCTTGTCTAGGTCACCGGAGAACTCTTACCTTGTGAAATCCAACAATTCAGCCTGTCTTTATAACTACCTGAGTTGATCTTTCCCTTCTTTGAAAAACACTTTCTTCATCTGGTCTCAAGGACAACCGAAGCTCTGGCTTCCCTCCCACTTCGCTGGCTACTCATGGGTGTCTTTTGCCCATTACTTATCCTCTCACCCTCTTAAGATTGGAGAGCTGTAGGGTTCAGTCCTTCCACCTCTTCTTTATCTACATTTAATTTCCTTGGGGAGCTCAGTTTATCTCCTTGCTTTGAATACACCTGCATGTTGATGCCTCTCACATTTACATCCTGACTTTCCCTCAAACACCAACCTTGTGTGTTCAATCACTGGGCACACTCTGCTTTGGGTCTTTGCATTTGCTGACTTTTGCCTAGAGCTCTCTCTCTTTTCGATTGTTCATACCTCGCTCCCACATGCAGGCCTTTGATGAATATCACCTTCTCAATAAACCTTCCTGGATTATATCTTCTCTATGTTCCTTCCATGCTTGGTGTTCTCTGATGTTCTCATTATTATCAGACTTGCTTTACATTATACTAGCTTATTTCCTAGTTGCCTTTACCACTTTTAGAATGTGAGTACCCATAGGGCAAGTACTTTTGACTGTCTGATGCATTGCTGTAGCCCCAGCCCCTAGAATCGTTCCTGGAACATGATAACTCTCAATAAGTAGTTGATAAATGAATGACTCAAGCGAGCAGTCAGATCTTGGTAGTTTTGCTTGAGACTTTAATATGAATTTCAAACACACTGTATATAAAATTTTTCACTTGTATTTTATCACATAGAATGATCTTTTTGTTGTTATTTCCAAATCTTCTGCCTATGGGCATTCTATCCATCATAAAGAAATTAAAATGAACTTGCTTTTAATCTTCTCCAGTCCTGGTCAAGTTACTATCTGTAAAACCATTAGAGGACATGTATTACTTTATAAATGATCATTTTATGCCTGAAACAAGTCCTTGCCATATTTTTTCTAATAAGTGTGGCGAGTCTAGGAAACAATTTGCCTGTGGTTGATATGTATTTTCCACAATTTCACATGGGATTTATTTCAAGTACTTGACAGCCAGGAAGAAACAAAGAAAGAAAGAAAGGAGGGAAGGAAGAAAGACAGGCAAGGATTGATAAGAATCTTTAAGATGTATCTACAGTCATGTTTTTTGTCAACAATTGACTGTTTATATGACAGTGGTCCCATTAGATTATATTGGAGCAGAAAAATTCCTATTGCCTAGTGACGTTGTAGCTGTCATATATAGCAGAACACATTAGTCACATATTTGTGGTGATGCCAGTGTAAACAAGCCTACTCTGTTGCCAGTCATATAAAAATATAGCACACATAATTACAGTAGCGGGCTGTACCTTCTAGATTTGTGTAAGTACACTGTGACGTTGGCCATCTAAATTTTTTGTGTCACTATATATTTTAATTGTTTATTGCTTGTTCAATCATCAGTAAAGGCATGGAAATATTTAATAACTAAAGTACTCTAAAAATAATAAGGAAAGTGCTTACTGTACTTACTTTTGGCTAAGAGAACTACAGTGGCCTTATCGAAACCTTACAAACTCACACATACTTGCACACACACACTCAGACGTGTTCACTCTTAAAAACATGCTCTCATTTTCTCTTTCCTTAGGACAGCATTGCTTGGATCCAGATGCTTACATATTGGATGTATATCATGTAAATCCTCAAGCAGAATGGGTCATTAAACCCCAATCAAGTTTTTGAAATACCCTCAAGATGGCAGCTATTATGTTTAATATGCCAAGAAAATTCCACATTAACTAGGGGGGGGAAAGGCTGCTTTTGACATGTTTGTTCCTATAACCCTCGTGGTGTTTCTCAGCTCAAGCGATGTCTCCCAGCATTATCAGCATGAACTATGGAAGAGGATATGGTTAATCATTTGAACTAAAGCTTTCTCATGACAGTTCCTTGATAAGAGTGAAAGAAAGAGGTCATGATCCTTCTGAAGAGAGACCAATTGAGAACAGGAATTCTGATCATTTCTAGTACGTTGGCTACAGCAGAAATGAACTTGATCCTTATCGAGGGATAAGAAACACTTCTCTATGTAGCAAATGCTACCAAACACAAGAGGTGGAAAAAAGACTTCTTTGTACTTATGCTATATATACATATATTGTCCAGTGTAAGCAAGAATGCCAGAAATATCAGTAACTTCCACTCTATAAAATAATTCAGCTGTACTTTCTAGTGGAATCAGTTTCTAAAGTTACACATACACTATTTATGCTCTGACTTTCTCCTGAATTGAAGGAGAAACTTCTGTTTAAAGACACTGTACTATTATGTACGTTTATGTATGTATGTATCATGATAATCAGCATTCTGGTGCAAATGAACATTTCTTTTTCTTGGACTGGTGAAAATTTACAGTTATAAAGCTTATTCCCTTATGAGCACAGGGCCTCCTAGGCAAGCTTAGTTCAACAAAGGGTATTCTTATGTTTTCATAACCTTCTGTGTAGTCAAAAGTCACAGAGCCTCTATTTTTCTCATCATGATTATGGTGCTCAATGAATAGCTTTCCATGTGCCGGGCATTGATTTCCTTTTCTGACCAAACATATCACTTTTTATATCTTACAACTGTAGATAGTCACTTCTGCAACCCCAGTTTAAAAAATACAGAACTGCCTTTATCCACGAGTGCTTAAAAATACCGTTACATTCAGATTTTGCATGCTGTAAAAGCAGGTTTTGTTTCTGTTCATCAATCATAGTCATGGCCAAGCACTGGGGATTAGCAACAGGTTTTAAAATCAGATGCATATTTTGTAAGCGGAAAACTGTCTCGCTATCAAGATCCTGTGGAGCCATTTTCAGACCTGAAATTGATAAGAACACACAGTCCCCATGATTGGAATTGAAAGCAAATCTAAAATATGCAGAAGGGTCAGACAGCTCTGCCTTTCATCTTGAGAATGCAGATATAGTCCTTCTGGGGTGAGCTAGAAATGGGGCCGCCATCTCATTTATCCCACATGCTTTGGATTAGAATCCACAGATTGGTATTTTGTTGACTTTATATCAGTTTTAATGAGCTTTGACACTCAAACGAGTCTCTTGCAGTTCAAACAAGAGACAAAATTGCTCACAATTGCAGAAAACGTATCTGCTTACCAAGTCTCAAAACGTGATAATTAAAGACCACATATACAAGAAATTTTTATATGCTGCATTATGCTTTGATGTCTATAAAAACATTACTTATATTCAACATGTTGATAATTCAGTTTCTGATCATTAAGATTTTGCTATATTTTTGTAGAAAACTCAAATATCTATTCATTTTATTTGTTTGAGAAGTCTCATTTCCTTTTCCTGAAAACGCATTAGGAAAGAAACATGTTCTGTAAGTTTAGACTTACATTTCATTAGCTTTCGGTATGTGGGTAATTGATGACATATGAGTTTACATAATGAATTTCAAGAGCCTGAAAAAATGCTTTTATCATTTTTGCAATTTAAACAACAGGAATAAACATTTCACTTTATGTTGTTACTAAGTTCCAAGACATAAGATGGCAGTAATATATGCCTATACACAGGGAAGAAACTCTTCAAATTAACTACCTTACACTTCTATGTATATATGAAAATAATGATTGATTTATCTCACTGTATTTCTTATCATTTAGAATAAATTGTTTATATAGAAAATTCATGAATCTAGTCATTCAATTTTTTTTATTTAGGAGTTTTCATTTCTTTTGATTGAAAATACATTAGAACTTATACATAAGTTCTAAGGATTTCAAGATTTACCTCACTTGTCATCAGTTTTAAATAAATTGCTAGCAGATGACAGGTAAAAACAATAAGTTTCTGAATTTCTTAGCCACTTTGTGTGTTTTCATAGGTCAGAAACTTAACTGAGTCAATGACTTTACTCACTTTAATGTATTCAAGGATGTGTGACAACTTTCAAATAACTGTGTTATATAGAAGGCCATGTCAATACCAATAGCATTATCCAATGATAACTTTTATTCTTAGTCATAGGGTTAACTGATTAGAGAAGAATTTTTTTTCAGTAGACACACAGACTAATTTTATGTAAATAAAAAGGGGTTTCGGGGTTTTTTTTTACTAATTTTATCTTTAAAAAATAAACAAACCCTTACAACTGAAATTTAAAAATGCATGCCACCTAAGTATTGAAAAACAATCTTTGCCTTATCAAGAGTTGTTTTAAAATAGTTATGGCAATCTGTAAAAATGAATAGTATATTTGCAAACAAAGGCAGTCAGACTGGGCTTTTAAATTCTGTTTTTAATATCTTCGCACCCCACCTCACCCCTACTGCCCTTGGTGTACAGTTAGGAAAATAATATCCAGGAAAGAACTAGAGAAAATTAACACTTTAGGAACACTTACTCATTTAAAAACAAAAACAAAAACCTAGAACTGGCTCACTTTTTTATTCTGCAAAAGAGAATCCCTTTGCTAAGCAGCTCACTTGGGGATATAATTTTTGGAGTGAATGACCTTCGAACAAACTGGAATGTTAATTTCTTTATAATGTATACACAGTATAAACTACCTCACTTGCCTTTCTTGGGGGAAAAATTAATGGACTTTAACAACTTTTGTTACAAACTGTCCCTGAGTCTTATTTGTCACTTCAGTTAGCTTTCAGTGTACACTTAATAATATACATTTAATAATGTAAAATATTTTTAGCAAAAGCTTGAAGCCAAAAATACTCTGTAACTGTTATCTGTGGTATGCTTTGAGAGAGTTCCTGTCCCTTGGTCATTGTCTTGTGTGTTTAACCATACTGAGATGCAGGTTTTCAAGTGTAGGGATTAATAGTCATCTCTTCTTGCAGGCATTTTTCAACTGCTTTTCCTCTATCGCAAGTGACTGAAAAGTAGGATTAGATTAACATGACCCTTCTTTTATCAAACATATTTCAACTATTTTTCACAAATGTATCACATGCCTGAAAACCTTATAAATTGTGGGATTGAATAGTTCCTAGTTTCTGATAGGCATTTTCAATTCTTTTCCATAAATATATCACTTAATAAAAAATTATATAACATGGATTGAAATGTTTCTGTCCAGCATTTTCAGTAGGTTTACATACACGTGCGCCTTAACTTTAAAATAACATGTTTTCTTTCAGGCATTTTTCAACTCTTTTCTAAAACTGTGATTTAATTGAAAAATTGTATGTCACAAGGAATGCCAGTGTTTTATGTTGTCTCCCACCTTAAAAGTTAATGATTCTTTTGTCCCATTAGCTTTTATTGTTCAGTATAATATGTATGTTGCATTTTATTGATGAAAATAAAAATAAAAAATAAAAGCATTGCTATGAGAATTCTTATATTTAACTACTCTATGGCCACCATGGTGCTGATGAAAGAACAGGGGCTTGAACATCGGGAGGTTTGTGTCTGAGCCCTGTAAGTCTCTGTCACTTACTAGCCGGATGGTGGTCCTGTGCAGAATCCACTTTGACACCTCTGTCATGGTGGGTGGTTGTGGGTAGGGAAAAGATTGAATAAGTAAACACTATTTCCCAAATTTGGTGCTCTGTCTGGACAAGCTTTTAGTAGGAGCTTAAATTTTTCTGAAAATAGATATAGAAAAGACATTTGACAAAGTTCAATACCCATTTGTGAATTTTTTTATAAAATTTAACATTTTACCATATATCTATGCAAAAGGCAAGAAAAAACATAAAGATTAGAAAATAAGAAATTGCCCAGCTGGTATAGCTCAGTGGTTGAGCATTGACCCAGGAGTCAAGAATCCATGGTTCAATTCCAGGTCAGGGTGCATACCAGGGTTTTGGGCTCTCCCCAGTAAGGGTCATGCAGGAGGTAGATGATCAATGATGTTTCTGTCATAAATGTTTCTATCTCTCGATCTCTCTCCCTTTCTCTCTAAAATAATAAAAATATTTTTAAAAAGAAAAGAAAAAATAAAATGCACAGTGTTTGCAAATTACATGATTATTGATATAGAAAAGCCTCAGGTATCCTCAGCTATTAAAATAAGAATTTGCAAGGTTATGACAAGATTATTACATAAAAATCAATTATATTTTTCTTAACAGCAAACAATTGGAAAATAAAATTTTAATTGCCACTTCCTATAGCATCAAGAAACAAAATACTCATGAGTACATTAACAAAATATATGCAAAACATATGCTAAAAACTACAAAATATTTTTGGTAATAAGAATAGCTAATAAATGTATAGATATACAATATTGCTGGGTAATAGGATATGGGTGGACGAGAATTGGCAAGATGTCAGTTTTCCACAAATCTATAGATTCAATGCAATTCCAATCATAATATCACTGACTTTTTAGGTAGAAATTGATAATTATAAAATTTATATGGAAATATAAAGAATCTAGAATATCTAAAGAAATCTTACCAAAGAAAAGAACAATATTGAATTAGAATGAATGGTGCCAAAGTATCCTATGTGGAAAGAAAACTTTGAACAGATAGTACTAGAACAATGGGATGTCTATATAAAAAAAAAAAAAAAAGTTGACCCCCTTACAGGATACACAAAAATTTAGCCAAAATGGATCATAAGGCTAATTTAAAAACCTAAAACAAGGCCTTCAGAAGAAAAAGGAGAATAGCTTTGTGACTTGGAAATGGGCAACTGATTTCTTAGAAACAGCAATGCTTAGAAAATAAATGATAACTTAGACCAACAAAATTTAAAATGGCTGTGTATCCAGAGATCATTCAGAAATCAAATAAGCAAACCACAGATCAGGAAAAAATGTATATTTGTAAAGCACATATTTGACAAAAGACAGATTCAGGATATATAAAGGAACTCATTCCCTTCTGGCCTGGTGTGTTTCTGTTGCAAAATCAGTTGACAGTGTAATGGGAGATCCCTTGTAAGTAACTTTCTCTTTCTAGCCTTTAAGATTCTTACTTTGTCATTGATGTTTGATGTTTGCCAATTTAGTTATGATGTGTCTTGGTGTTGGTCTTTTTGGGTTTATTTTGTTTGGCATTCTATGTGTTTCTTGGACATGTGTATTTTTTTTCTTGCCAATATCAGGGAAGTTTTCTGTCATTATTTCTCCAAACAGGTTTTCTATTCCTTGCTTTGCTTTCTCTCCTTGTGGTACCCCTATTATGCAGATGTTTCATTTTGTGTTGCCCCAAAGCTCCCTTAGGCTCTCCTCTTGCTTTTTAAGTTTTTTTCCAGTCGCTGCTGTGTTTGTGTGTTTTTTCCTACTTTGTCTTCTAATTCACTGATATGGTCCTCAGCTTCTTCTATTCTACTGTTAAGCCTTCCATTGTGTTCTTTATTGAAGCTATGTCGTTCTTCATTTCCTCTAGGTTCCTTTTCATGTTGGTGACATTCTTATTCAGCTCCTTATAATTCTCATTGAGTTGTGCATATTTGTCATCCAGCCATTTGAGCATCCTATAACCATTACTCTGAACTCTTTCTCTGACATATTACTTGCCTCCACTTAATTTAATTCTCTGGTGGTTTCTCTTTTTCTTTACTTTGGGGATTGCTTTTTTGTCTCCCCATGTTTTGCTGTAATGTTTCATTGTTTCTGTGCCCTAGATCCAACTGCTTTGCTACCCAGGTTCTTTTGAGGGTGGTGCTACTGATGTGATCCCTCAGGTCTCCTGGGCTTGGTAATCTATTGGAGATGTCTACTTGAGCTATTTGGGTTCTCTTGATGTAGTTGGATCTTGAATGTTAGTTTCTTATTCGTGCATGAAGTCTCATCATGGGTTAGCAATGTGACTCACCCCCAGCTTTGTTGTGCAAGCTGTTTTGGATGTGACTGTGGTTCCGGCTCTTGTGGAAAAGGTTGTCTGAGGTCTCACTGCTATGTGCTCATTGTGGGTTCCAGAGTCCATGGCCTGGGAGGAAGGAGTCTTGGGACCTGAGGCTCAGGAACTGTGACTTTGGCCAGTGTGGTGTGACTCTTGCTGGATTAGCATCACTTTGCAACTCACTACGAGAGGCCCAGAGCCTGTGACAATGGGAGGCAGGTGTCTCGTAGTCTGTGATTAAGGCAGTGGGACTCTGGCCAAAGTGATTTCTCTCTCTGAAAGGGGTTAAGGATCCAGCAGCAGGCTGTCCATAGGTAAGTAGCCAGGAGGGGGATGTCATGGATCCTACTGAGGGAGCCATGCACCCTTGATTGGAGAGGCACACGCCCACTGGCAGCACACAGAGGGGCCCAGGAGCTGTCTGCCAGGGGTGTGCTTGTGGAGCCCATACACTGGATCGGAGTGATTGTGGCATGCCGCCGGCCCCGTGGAGGGAGAAGTCCCCGTTTCTGCTTTGGGAGATGTGCGCCTTGGTTGGATATGGATGCCCAATGGCTGCTTACAGAGCTGCCCAGGAGCCATCTGCTGGGGCAGTGGGCTCAGGAGGCCCTTGTGCTGGAGCAGTGCTACTGCAGGGACTGGATGCCAGCAGCCAGGGTTGTGCCTTGCGGCGGCTCAGCTAAGCATCCAGGGGCCGCTTACTGGGGCAGTGGGTTCAAGGGGCTTGCACACTGAATTGGTGCAACTGCAGTGACCCGAGGTCAGCAGCTGAGGAGGAGGAGGAGGAGGAGAATATCCAAGTTTCTGCTGCCAGGGCCTTGAGTCCTTGATTTGATATGAGTGTGCCTATGGCAGCTCACAGAAACCATGCAACCACGGTGTCTGTGGGTAGGCAGCCGGGAAGGGGGAAGTCCAAACTTCTACTGCCGGGGCCGTGCGCCCTTATTAGAATATGAACATGCTCAGCCAGGGCTCAAGGAGGCACCCAGGAGCCGCCTCTAGGGGCAGCGGGCTCAGTAGGCCTGCATGATGGAAAGGTACAACTGCGGTGTCCAGAAGTCAGCAGCCAGGGAGGGGGATGTCCCAATTTTTGCTGCCTTGTGCCCTTGTTTGAAATCGCATGTGCCCAGCGGGGGCATACAGCAGCACCCAAGAGCTGCCTGTGGAGCAGTGGGCTCAGGAGTCCTGTGCGCTGGGAAAACATGACTGTGGTGTCCAGAGGTCTGCAGCTGTGGGGTGGGAAGACTCAGCTTTTGCTGCTGCATCCGTGGTTGGATACACGTGCGCCCTGTGGCAG